AGAGCGGTTTTGTTTCTTTTAATTTGCTCTTTCACTCCCCTTCGGTGATGAAATAGTCTGAGAAATGCTGGATGAAACTGCATAAACTGAAACACACTGAATGGGGAAGACTGAGGATCTGTAATTGAAGAACGTGAAAGAAATCAAACCGGTTTTGTGCAAAAGAAGCAATGATGAGGAAACCTAGTAAACCATTACATTAAGACTCAATTTCAGACTGCTATATTTGCTAAAAAGCCTTTGCTCTCACCTGTGTGTTCCTCTATTTTAAAATTTAACTTACTATATCCTAATTATTGGCCTCCTACCCCTCACTTGAAAGGAAATGCAAACCACCCTACTTGTAAAACAGGGCCTAACACACCTCTGAATTCATTAACTTTTATCAGGTACGTTAGCAAATAAATAAATGGAGTGAAGCAGAAGAATATGGAAATCCAGACTGGAAAGTTTCGGGATTAAACCGAAAGAGAACCCAGGTACACAAAACTGTAATGGAGGAAGATCCTGGTCTTCTAGCTCGGTACCCTCAGCGCCTGGCAAAGCGCTATTACTGGATGACGCTCAGAACTCGTTGACTTAAAAAGCTACGAAGAAGATAACTAGAAAAAAAAAATCAAGGGGAATAGCTAGCCGGGCCACCTGCTCGGCCACATTCAGAACTGAAGGCGCTGGGCCGAGGGGCTGTCATACGGGATGGTCCAGAGCCAGGTGGCTGATACACGGTCCGTGCTTCTAGGTTTCCCGGGTCCTGAGAGGTGGTGTCACGTGACTCAAACAAATATGGCACCTTATTTGCATCTCCTCTCCATAGAGCCAATAGGAGCAACGCTCTCAGCCGTCACCACCACCACCACCCGGCAGCTCTGGGTGTCGTCTGTCACCTGACTCACTTCAAACATGGCTGCGCTGGAGGCTCTATTGCTTTGGGCACCGGGAACAGGTGAGTGTGAAACACCCTAGAGAAGGCGGGGGCGCTCTCCACGACCCTAGTAGGGAGCGTCCCTGCGCCCCACGCCCTCGCCTAACACTCCCCAGTTCTGACATTGATTGCTCTCGTGTTCTTCAGTCCTCTGGCTTAACGGAGGGCTCAAACTGAGGGGATTGCTGCTAAATCTCTCATTTCATGAGGAAGCTACCACCTGGGGATTTGGAGCCTGACTGGGCGTACAGTTCAGGAGGGAATATGAAGTGGAATTATAGGTCGCCGCGGGCTAATACTACTACTAATATTATATATAGAGGATCCGCACAGAGCGATGGGATTTACCCACTTAGACAAAGTGGCGGCTCTCCAAAAGAAAGTCACGTGTCAAATTAAACTTAAAACGATCATTAGAAAAGTAAGTCCTGCCTTTCCCAGTCGGGCCAGGGGTGACTGGTATGTCTAATTAGAGTTTCTCCTGTTTATTCTCATTCCTTTTTGTGTTTTTAGGAGGTACTCCACGAATGAGAAAATTGAGAATGTGTTCGGCGTAGCTCATCTCTTTTTATCTCCCTGCACTCTGTGCTGGGAAAATGAATCATCCGTTTGGAAAAGAGGAAGCTGCTTCCCTGAAGCAGCTCTTTGAATTTTTCTGTGAGTGCCTGCGGAGGGGAGAGTGGGAACTGGCACAGGCTTGTGTACCCCAGCTACACGAGGGACAAGGGGATATCCCAAAGAGAGTGGAAGACATACTTCAGGCCCTCGTGGTGTGTCCATATCTTCTGAGGTAAGGGATCTCTCTTCCTGCCAGGCAATCACAGGATGGGAAACACATGATTCATTATCTGGTCTCTGATCAACGTGCCCGACTCACCTACTCTCTGAAGAATTAACAGAGTTAGCATGTATTCACAAACTCTGAAAATTTCCCTCTATTATATATGCCCCTTACTTAGTTATGGTTTAGGATTATCGTCTAGAACTGAATTTAAACCTCGTCCAAAGTTTGCCTGAAACCCCCATCTTTTGTTTATCATCATTGATGTCTCATTAAAGTACATGATGGAACTGCGTTGAAAAGTATTTTCAGTGCCACCAAAAAGGTAAACCTTGCTTTCTTCTCGCTTATGAAATGGAAGATAAGGTTTAACAAATTTTTAACAAAGGACTGAAAGTGAATTCAGTTAAAACTTTTTGTTAATTGCCAAAGAGCATGAGTTTGCTCATCCAAGAGAGAAAGAGGAGAGAAAGCATCCCAACGGGATGTGGTCACACGGCAGTCCTTTCTCCATCTCTACATCTTGTTGGGATCTGGGGCACATACAGACACATACCTGGTGTATTTTTCAAGCCACTGGGAGCCAGGATTTGAACCACAGTGGGCCATGTGGAATCCGAATCCTTTAACCACTAGGCTTCAGGCTGGCCCCACTTAAAACTTTATTTTAAGATAACTTTGGACTGGGAACCAGCAGTTAGCATAATGGCTATGTCGCTGGATTCCCACATAGTCGACCGCGGTTCTCATCCCGGACCTGGTTGCTTAAAACTCACGCCAGCCACGTGTGCATGCGTGCCCAAGATCCCGAGAGGAGAATGGATGTGGGCCACATACAGACACATCCGTGGTTTTTTTTAAAAGCCACTGGGAGCCAGGATTTGAACCACAGTGGGCCATGTGGAATCCGAATCCTTTAACCACTAGGCTTCAGGCTGGCCCCACTTAAAACTTTATTTTAAGATAACTTTGGACTGGGAACCAGCAGTTAGCATAATGGCTATGTCGCTGGATTCCCACATAGTCGACCGCGGTTCTCATCCCGGACCTGGTAGCTTAAAACTCACGCCAGCCACGTGTGCATGCGTGCCCAAGATCCCGAGAGGAGAATGGAGAAGGGATTGCGGTGTGACCATCCTCCCTGGGGGGTGATTTCTCGCTTTCTGTCTCTGTGTCTCTCTCTGTCTGTCTGGCGAGCACACGCACCCTATAGCAAAAATCTCTCCAAAAAAAAAAAAAAAAGATAACTTTGGACTCACAAGAAGTTGCAAAATAATTTGGAGTTTAGTATCCCCTTTTTCCAACCAATTGTGACATCTCACACAGCTATAGCATAATATTGAAACTAGGAAATTGACATTGGTACATTACTGTTAACTACACACAACATTTATTTGTGGTTTTAGATTCTTCTTTTTTAAGCTCTGTGCAGTTTTATCTATATATAGATTAATGTAATCCTACCATAATAAAGACACAAACCCATTCCATCACTACAAAAGAACTTGCTCGCTCCTTGATGCTAGCTAGCTCTTCGAATTTGCACTACCATTCCTCACATCCCCTGGCAATCACAGTTCTCCATCCTACATTTTTTTTTTTTGAGAGGTTTTTGCTACAGGGCACGTGTGCTCACCAGAAAGACAGAGAGATAGAAAGCGAGAAATCACCCCCCAGGGGGGATGGCCACGCTGCAATCCCTTCTCCTCCATTCTCCTCTCGGGATCTTGGGCACGCACACACACACGCCTGGCGTGAGTTTAAGCCACCGGGTCTGGGACTCAAACCGTGGTCGACTACGTGGGAGTCCAGCGACATAGCCATTACACTAACTGCTGGTCCCGCAAAACTCTCTTTCAAAAAAAAAATAAAATAAATAAACTAAGCAATGAAATCTAAATCATGAATCACGAAAATGAAAAGCATAGTACTTTTTTTTTTTTCACTAAGTCTCTTTACCTTTCTCAGATGTGGACAGGACATCAACCCTCAAAGATTAGCATGGATGTGGCTTCTTGTACTGGAAAAATGGTTGGCCCAGGAAAAAGTAAGTAGTCTTAAATTTACATTTCTCCAGAAGCCAAAACTAGAAAGAACTCAAAAGTAATTATGGGATTTTTCTGTTGTCTGCTATTTTCTTTTTTCTGAAGTTTTTCATGTTCTTTCTCAATATTGACACAAAAGGACCTAGCAAGTTAGGACATTAGACTCCCACATGGCTAACCCTGGTTTGAGTCCCAGACCTGGCAGCTTGCTTTCTCACGTTCCCTCTTTCTCTGTGTCTCCTTCTCTGGTAAGCATGCATGCCCTATAGAAAATTTTAATAATAAATAAAATTAAATAATATTTTTAAGAAAGATTTTTGTTACAGGGTGCACGTGCTTGCTGGAGAGACAGAAAGGAAGAGAGAAATCACCCCCCCAGAGGGAAGATCACACCATAATCCCTTCTCCATTCTCCTCTCAATATTTTGAGCATGCATACATACATGTGTGAGTTTCAAGTCACCACTTTCAGGATTTGAAGCATGATCAACCATGTGGGAGTCCAGTGATGTAACCATTATGCCATCTGCTGGTCCCAGATTTAAATAAATAATTATTTTAAAATATTGACACAAAGAATGGCTTAAGTATTTATATATTAATACAAATTTATATATTAATTCACTAACATACATTGGCATATAATACCATTAGACATGATGCTATTTTGTTAAATACCACTAGGAGTCTCTTATGCCTAAAAAGGACTTTACAGTGAAAGTAACAAGCTAGCAAATTGATATAAACCAATAATATTCAAATCTACTTAACACTCAAGTAACAGAGAATGGCTGAGCTGCAAATTGGTTTTTCTTTCAAAAATCTTATTTTAACTGGTCTAATATAGCAAAATGTTACAGATTTAAGTCCCATCAATTAATAATCTAGTAATTCATATGAATTATCCTAAAAGCTAAATATAAAAACATAATGAGCAAGTTAATAGTGAAAGAAAAATGGTAAGGAAGTGCTTTTCTTTTTTTTTTTAAATAAAGAACTTCTAGTTTTTTTAATTATTTATTTAATTTTATATATTCATTCATTTATTTTTAGTTTGACCAGAAAGAGACAAAGAGCGAGAAAGAGGGAAAGTGAGAAAGCAAGCTGCCAGCTCCAGGACTTGAACCATGGTAGCCATGTGGGAGTGTCCAGCACCTTAACCACCACGCCACCTGCTGATCCTGGAAATGCGTTTCATAAAGAAAAACTTATATTCAAAGACATTTTAGAACTATGTGTTAATTAACAGAAATCAACATCCATTAAAGGAATTGCTCTAAGAATTTCCAGTTGAACCTAAGATGTTGAGATTTAAGTGAGGAACCTCTGACTCAAAAGAGGATGATTGGCCCAAGGACAAGTCCATAAAGTAGTTGACAGAAATGAACCTGAAACCAAGGTATTCTTATTCTCAGTTCTCTGCTTTTTCTATCTCAACATTATTTTTAGCCTTAAAAGTAAGAAACTACTGGGTAATCAGAAAAGTTGTGATGCACTTTTGCATAGAAAAACACGTCATGACTTCCCCGGCATCCCAATACAACATCTGTACACACATATTTATGTGATGTGGTGATTAAGGCATTGTACTCTCACATGGTCGACCACAGTTCCATTCCCGGACCTGGCAACTTGAAAATCATGCTGGACACATGCTTGTGCATGACCAAAGTCCTGGTAGGAGAAGAGAGGAGAAGGGATTGAGGTGAAGCCATCCCCCCTGGGGTGATTTCTCACTTTCCTTCTGTTTGTCTCTTTCCAGCAAACACACACGCCCTAAGGCAAAATCTTAAAAAAAATAAATAAATAAAAGACAAAGAGTTGGCTGTGATTTCAGATTGAAGAGAAACCCTGAGTAATACCATAGTTTCAATAGTACCTTCAATGAGAATAAAAATTTTTTTGTTGCTGATTAAAGATCTGTCTAGAACAAACATGGAATGTGTCAAACCAAATGAACTTTCCTTTCAGTAAAGGCTGTTTGCTTACTTTATGCCTGGTTGGTTGCTTATTTTCTGGACAGTTGCTTAATCTTATCAGGCGGTCAATTTCACTTCCCTGTCCTCTTAGCATAGACTGACGAATTGCTCTTATTGTTCCCAGCATCATTTGTCTTTAAAACACCAGGACGTTTAAACAGTTATGGAAATGTTTTATCTCCTTAGAGAATTTGGAACTTTATATAAGGACCAAGACTCCAAGTGCATTATCGGAGTAGTTCTCCAGGGCCAGTCATTATCCTGGATGTACCTTCATCTTCTAGGAACTGGCTGGCTGCCTGCCCTTTTGCAGGCTCCTATCTTTGGCCAAAAGCTTCCTTTTTACTTAGTAGGTGAAACAATATTCTATTTTTCCCTTTCCTTTATTGCTTTTGCCTTCTGCCTTTTTATCTTGCAATGATTTATCTCTACATGTGTCGGTATGTGTACAAAGATTTAGCTGCAGAGATGTTTACTGCTGTGCTGCTTTTTAAAATTATTATTATTTTTTATTTGCCAGAGTGCAAATGTGCTGCCAGAGAGGGAAATGGAGAAAGTGCACCTCCCTGGGGGACATGGACACCCCTTAATCGCTTCTCATCCATTTCTCCATATGAAATTTGGGACACATATACACACTTGCTTGGTGCAGTTTGTTTGTTTTGTTATAGGGCGCATGCGCTCAGTGGAGAGAGAGAGACAGAAAGTGAGAAATCACCCCCTGGGGGGATGGCCATGCCATAATCCCTTCTCCTCTGTTCTCCTCTTGGGATTTTTTTGGGGGCACGCAGGTACATGAGCCCAGCTTGAGTTTCAAGCTGCTGGGTCCAGGACTAGAACCGTGGTTGACCACATGGGAGCCCAGCAACGTAACCGTTAGCCATCTGCTGGTCTCATCAGTGTGTTTTTCGAGCCACCAGGTCCACTACTCAGAGATCCAGTTCTTTTGACCACTAGTCTATAGGCCAGCTAGCTGTGCTGCTTCTAATAGAAGAAAGTTAAACAATTTTTGTGCCTATAATACAGAACTGGTTAATAAGTGGAAATATAAAGATGCACTCATGCTCTATTATGTGGGGGGAGCAGTTTAGAAAAAGTAGATTTTGTATATATGCGTAGGTACATATGTAGAGAATGGTCTGAATGCTCTTAGACCACAGTGTTAATGATACTCCTTCAACAAGAAGAGTTGGTATTTGTTTATAAATATATATAATATTGTATATATATACATTTATAAAGAAATATAAATATATGTATGAGATATTATATATATCCATGCATCTTTTTAACTTGCTAGAGAGCTTGTTCACGCACCAGAGATGGCAGGGGTGAGGTGGGTTAAAAGCACCCCCTCTGGGGCATGGTCACACTACAATCACTTCTCCTCCATTTCTTCCTCCTTTCAGGATTTTGGGCATGTATGCACATGCACCCAGTGTGTTTTTCAAGCTGCCAGGTATAGGACTTGAACTGTATGGTCATCTCTGTGCAATACTGCTCCCTTAACGGCCAGGACACGAATTGACCCTACATATATATATATATATTTTTTTTTTAGTTGGTTTATTTGTATATACTAGTCCCCCGTTATCTGTAGTTTTGTTCTCCATGGTTTCAATTATCCACTGTGGGTAATGCTCAGTACAGTATAATACGATATTTTCAGTGGATGGAGTGGAGGTTAAAGCATTTGGATCCCAGATGCTTCATTCAAGTCTCGAACACAGCAGCTTGAAAATTTCACACCCTGCGCAGTATGTGTCCCCAAAATCCCAAGAGGAGAATGGAAAAGAACGAATTACAGTATGACCATCTCCCCTGGGGGATGCCTTCTCACCTTCCCTCTTT